TCGACATATGGGTTTACCATATCACCTTATCCTTAAATAAGAACAATGCTTACCAGTGTGCAGTCCTGGAAAGACATGAATCCATCCAGCAATGGACTTGAAAATGCTGTCAATGTGATGTGAATAATATTTTCTTCACATCACAAATTTTCACTTCGAATTGAAACCCACACGTTGAAAAATAAAATCCTACATTTTCCAAATTCGGTCAGAATCTTAAAGGATTTGCCTTTTTATCGTCAGGCTTGGCAGTGGATTGATGATAGCAGTGTCAGATGTTTCGCAGACAAGGAAAAGGTAAATATTTCGAAATCAATGATAAATTAAAAAATCGATTTTAAAATAGAATGAAATAGGGTACACCATGTAAAAATAATCAAAGAATATATATTTATGATAGATTTTGTAAAAAGTAAACGAGAAATATTGATTTCTATTTATAAAAATGCATTATAAATTTTATATTTCAAATAAAAGAATATTCTTTTTACTGTGCCTCAAATCTGCAAAACGATGTCCGCCATATTAGCGTCGTGACGTCACTAGGTCAAAGAACTAGGTTATGTGCTGTGTACTAACTAGCTAATTTCGAAATTTTTCAAGTTATCATTACGATTGTTGACTTTTATTCCAAATTTTATTAAAAAGGCATCATGGAAGACGGATTCGTAAAAGCGAGTTTATTACTTCGCTTTTATGAATCGCTTAGCACTAATGTTATAGATATTATAATAGGTATAAGTTTAGGTGAAAAAAACTTTTTGTTATATTTTTTGTACAAACCCTCAGACGAAATAAAAAGTCACTTTTTATTTGGTCTGAGTACAAACCATGTCTTTATTCCCATATAATAGAAGAAAACAGGAATTAAGTAAAACACTGCACTGCACTTGCAAGGGCTATCAAAATGGCCCACAAAGGGCGGGACAGACGAGCGATTAACCTATTATGTCATGATGTTTTGTTTTGTTTAATCGATAGTTAAATATAAGTCATACTTACATCCAAAAGTTCTTCACAGAAGTATAGCTTAGATTGTGTAAACAATGCCTTCGGGTCTCTTCTTGCCAGTTTTAACCAAGTATTTCTTATATTTAAATCAGTTGGCACTTTAATCCATAACTTCCCCGGCGTTCTTATGCTCGTATTTTTGCAATCAGGCACAACACAACAATGATATAGATGATAACTCATTATTAAACATTGAAAAGTATATTATTCCTTTGCAAAATTGTCAAAATTCTAGGCCAGTGTCGTCACGAGTTGAACAGTATGGCGGCTAGCGTTTCCACGCGAAAATTTCAAACGATAGATTAAAAGTAATTTTATGTCACTATTCGGTTTTAAAAAATTTATATAAAAATTATAGTGGTTCATTATCACTCTAGGATTAATTTTAAACACTTTTTGAAAATGGGTGTAGTACCCTATTGAACAATCGATTAACAAAAATCCAAAGTATCCTTTTATAATTATGTGACTCGAGTTGTAAAAGTCATGCTCGTTGAAAAATGAAGTTTCGACCAAATAAGAAAAAAATTAAAAAGAGAAACTAAATCTCTTTTTGCGTTCTTCTTTTGTCCATCAGAATATTTTTAATTATGTCGAGGATTAAGCTTATAGTCAAAGAATTACAAATCATAAATCTTAAATCTAAGACAATATTAATTATTATTTACTATCAAAAAAATGCCGTGTAGTGGCGGTTAAGAATATCCACTACCCCATATCTTCCCGTGGGTGTCGTAAAAGGCGACAAAGGGAAACAGGTAGGAGATGGGCAGCAGCATCTTCCTGGTAACGGCAAAAATACAATAAAAACCTGCGGTTGCCAACCCGCTCGCCAAGCGTGGCAACTATGGCAATATACCCCCCCATAATGAAAGTTACGAAGAGACGGCTCCCAGTCCCCGGCGGCCCCGCTATTCCTGGCTACGGTGGCGACCATGGTAACGGCGGGGCAGGGGGTGCTAAGAATCTCCGGTGGAGGTTTGGGTGCCACCTACAACGACTCGACCTGGCAACATACAACGCACGCACCCTGAGGACTGACGAGAAGATTGTGGAGCTGGAAGAAGAGATAGACAAGTACGCTGGCATATTATAGGATTATCCAAAGTCCGAAGAGAGGAGGAGGACACGGTAATCCTCGAATCAGGCAACTTGCTCTATTACCAGGAGGGCGACCATCTGTCCCAAGGAGGTGTCGGATTTATCGTCCACAAGTCTCTCGTTAACAACGTTGTAAAGATTGAGAGTGTGTCGACGAGGGTTGCGTACCTTATATTCAGAATCACCAAACGGTATTCGCTGAAGGTCATACAGGTTTACGGACCAACCTCGGCACACCCCGATGGGGAGGTGGAGGAAATGTATGAGGATATCTCTAGAGCCATGCATTCCTCCAAAACCCAATATACGGTGTTAATGGGAGACTTCAATGCAAAACTAGGCACAAGAGAGAACGGTGAGCTGAAAGTGGGGAAATTTGGAATAGGGCAACGGAACCCAAGGGGCCAGCAGCGGGCCGACTTCATGGAGAAAGAGGGACTCTTTATGATGAACTCTTTCTTCCAGAAGCGGCCCCACAGGAAGTGGAGCTGGTCGAGCCCCGACGGTTCGACAAAAAAATGAGATTGACTTCATTATGACGACCAGACGACAACTGTTCAGTGATGTCTCAGTGATCGCGAGGGTGAAAACCGGCAGCGATCACCGAATGGTTAGAGGCACACTGAACCTAAACGTTAAGTTGGAGAGGTCTCGTCTAATGAAGTCAACGCTCCGTCCCCCTCGTGCTCTAATCCAAAGTCCCGAAACCTTTCAGCTCGAGTTGCAAAACCGTTTTCAGTGCCTAGAAGACTGCAATGAAGTGGACGATATGAATGACAAGCTCGTGGAAACTGTCCATGCGGTCGGAGCTAAGTTCTGCAAGACCCACCGCAGAACACAAAAACTCTCCGATCACACTCTCAATCTCATGGCTGTTAGACGGGAGATGAAGCTACATTCTTCAACAGATTTGACAGCATACAGGCATCTGAACAGACAGATATCCAAATGCATGAGGCGGGACTTACGCAACTTCAATACAGCTCGTATTGAAGAAGCGATCGAGCGGAACCAAGGCTCCAAAGTCTTTGCCAGAGATCTGTCTGCCAGAAAGAGCCAACTGCCAAAGCTGAAGGCAGCATCGTTTCCGGGGCACCTGAGATTTTGAGGTTCTATGGGCAGCTGTACACGTCATTGTTGGAGCCACACGCAAGTGTGAGTAACGATCCAAGAGCGAGTCTTATCCGACACTATTTCGAAGATATCCCGGACGTCAGTCTGAGCGAGATTAGAATGGCTCTCCAGCACCTTAAAAACGGCAAGGCCCCAGGCCAGGATGGAATTACAGCGGAGCTTCTGAAAGCGGGTGGAAAACCGGTACTTGAAGTCCTTCAGAAGCTCTTTAATTCCGTCCTCCATGGTGGCATTACACCGGAGGCGTGGAGCAGAAGTGCGGTGGTCTTGTTCTTCAAGAAAGGCGACAACGCTCTCTTGAAGAACTACAGACCGATTTCCCTTCTGAGCCGCGTCTACGTGCTGTTTTCGAGAGTCATTACGAATCGTCTCGCGCGCAGACTTGATGACTTCCAGCCTCCCGAACAAGCCGGTTTCCGAAAAGGCTTTAGCACCATAGACCACATACATACCATTCGGTAAATTGTACAGAAGTCCGAGGAGTACAATTTGCCACTATGTCTGGCGTATGTGGACTATGAGAAAGCCTTTGATTCCGTCGAAATTTGGGCGGTGCTGCAGTCCCTTCAGCGATGCCAAGTTGACTGTCGGTATATCGAAGTGTTGAAGTGCTTAAACAGTAGGGCTACGATGGCTATCCGAGTACAGAATCAGAGTACGAAACCTATCTAATTGCAGAGAGGTGTAAGACAGGGTGACGTCATATCACCGAAACTCTTTACCGCTGCATTGGAAGATGTTTTCAAGCTTCTGGACTGGAAAGGATACGGTATCAACATCAATGGCGAGTACATCACTCACCTTCGATTTGCCGACGATATAGTCCATATGGCAGAATCGCTGGAGGACCTAAGCACTATGCTCAATGACCTCAATAGTGTTTCCCAACGGATAGGTCTTAAGATGAACATGGACAAAACAAAGATCATGTTTAATGTCCATGTCACACCTATGCCGGTAGTTGTTGGGAACACTAAGCTCGAAGTTGTTGGCGAGTATGTTTACCTGGGACAAATAGTCCGACTAGGTAAGTCCAACTTCGACCGAGAGGTCAATCGACGGATTCAACTCGGCTGGGCAGCGTTCGGGAAATTACGGCACATCTTCTCGTCAGGTATACCTCAAAACTTGTAAACGAGACTGTACACCCAGTGCGTGTTGCCAGTGATGACATACGGAACTGAGACGTGGTCCTTCACTGCTGGCCGGATGAGGAAGCTCAAGGTCGCTCAGCGAGCTATGGAGAGGGCTATGCTCGGAGTTTCTCTGCGTGATAAACTCAGAAATGAGGATATCCGCAGTAGAACCAGAGTGACCGACATAGCCCAACGGATTAGTAAGCTGAAGTGGCATTGGGCCGGCCATATAGCTCGAAGAACCGACAACCGATGGGGAAGAAAGGTTCTCGAGTGGCAGCCTCGTACCGGCAGGCGAAGTGTAGGGCGTCCCCCCACGAGATGGAGTGACGACCTGTTAAGATATGCAGGAAGTCGATGAATGCAGGTGGCTCAGGACCGTGCTTTGTGGCATTCTTTGGGGGAGGCCTATGTTCAGCAGTGGACTTGTGAAGGGCTGTAATGATGATGATGATGATGATTATAAAAAAAATCTTGTTTGTAACTCTTATAGCTTTTTTAGTTTTTAACCAATCATGCAAAAATGTTTCTTGTTTAATCTTCCTATTTATACTAGTGCAATTCAAGACACGCTGGCAACATTGTTTTTATGTCAAAGCAATTTGCATTTATTTTCTTAGCAGCAATATTTTTATTCGATTTCGACGTTTTATCTTCATATATTAGTTTTGCGATAATTTTAATTTATCTACAAAAAAACAAGTTTAGTTAATCCAAACAATCAAATAATATTACATTGATTTTAATTTTTACTTTTCTAATTTAAAAGACAAACGTAAAACAATACTACGAAATTGAATTCCTGTTTTCGTTCTTTCACTCATGTGCAGTGCAATGTAATGTGATAGTTGGCTAATTTTCCTGTATTTAGTATCGGACTTCGACCATGAAATCCAGTAAACGAAGACTTCAAGCGCTTACAGAAGGCTCTGATGGACTACCAAATTACATTAAAATGGACGATTCTGAAACTTCTATACCCCCAGTACTTAGATCTCGTTTGCATGATCTATTTTCTCAAATAGAAAAAGAGTTTGACCTTCTCTACGCTGAAAATTTAAATCGTAAGTTAATATATTATTGCATTAACCATATTGTGATAAATTATTTAGTGGTTATCATCTTTTTCATATTAATAAATTGTTTTAGTGCAAGAAAAAATTGATATACTTAGTGAAAAACTAGAAAGGGAGAGCAATATAGGCGATAGACAGAATCAAGATTTCATTGAATTTGAAACCACAGGCAAGAATTCTAAAGTAAAATGTAAGTATTAAAATAAAGCAAAATTATAGCAAAATATATTTTTTTACATAGTTTGAAAATTGTAAATATGATGTTTGACCAATAATCATAATTACAAGCTGTTATTTTTATTGCTTTTGTCTTACTACAAGTATGTAATTTTTATACTGTCAGAGCTTGTTATTTATTCACTAGATGAAAATAAATAATGGTATGAACTGTTTAAATTTCTCTGTCTCCCCTGTGTGAATTTAAAGTAACCAAAAGGAATATAACTTATATACTATTCCATCAAAAAATTGTCACCTTTCTTTAATAAGTAGTCAGTTAATGACTAAAAATAATAACTTAATGTTATCAAAAATAGCTATCTGATGATTAAAGTATCTAACCAGTCCATCTTGTCTTACCTAACGACTGGCACCAATACTGTATTGGTAGTGAATTATTAATATTTCAACATGGAATGGAAAGAGATATGCTGAGGGTTTTGAAATCTACAGGAGAACCAGTACCTAGTAACTATAACCATCTATATTTGCAAATGAAATTAGTTATGGACTTGTAGTAATTGTTGCAGTAATGACAACTCATGGAGTAGAAGTTACTTCTATATAGTAGAGATTGAGCTTTTTTTTTATAGGATAACGGTGACAAGTGAACACACAGTCCATTAGATGGTAAGTGGTTGCTGTGGCCCATAGACATCTACATCTATTCTCGTTTGCGAAAAATATGCAGATGCATTGTCAACCATGAGGACTAAAATGGAATGCCTCTTTTCCACTGAAAAAGTGTCTCCAGCTCTCTACACTCACCAAACAAATCAGAGCAGCATTAAGCTGCTATTTTATTCTGGTATTCTGTGAGAGCTGGTCCTGCAACTATATTATTAATAATATTAATTTAATATATATGTAGCATGGCTCTAACACATATAAAAGCTTGGTGAAACATAGTAAACAACAACTGACATCACCTATGTAGATGAAACAAGAGTTTGTATTGCCCTATACAAACACTCCATCTATTACTGGGAAGCAGTAATTGGATACATTATAATAAATAAAGCTAAGTGGCATGCTTTGAGAGAGGCCTTTGTCTGTGTGAAGTGCAGGCTAGCGATGGGTCTAACTGGTTTACACGTCAACTTGGTTTTGCAGACATTTAAATTTAAACTGCGATGTCATCTATGGATTGACATAGTTGACATAGACCATAGACTAGTGTAATGGCATAATATATTAAGTTGCCCTTCTCTTTTGCACACGCAATGATACCATGACGGCATCCTTTTCTTCACCTAACACATTTAACATTGCTAGTCAAAATGAAAGTTATGGTGTTTTAATTTAGCCGTCTAAGGATTTGACAAGTCCATTGATTGTTCTACTCGTTCATGTACGTCAACGGTCAAATTAACTAGTTTCTTCTAGTGTTGCTAGTTTAAAATTGTTTAAATTATGTATTACAAGCAGTATTTTTGGGGATATAAAACTGTTTAAGTACTACACAAATAAAAATAAAAATTACGTTAATTTACTAGCTAAATATTGGGAATGTTGACTCTTTGATGGATAAACAGAGGATGTAAACACACATTAGAGCTAGTGTAGTAATTGGAACATTTTTTTTTTATAGGAGAGGGGGCAAACGAGCATGCGGCTCACCTGATGGTAAGTGACTACCGCCGCCCATGAACAACCGCAACACCAGGGAGGGAATTGCAGATGCGTTGCCAGCCTTTTAAAAAGGAGTAGGCTCTTTTCTTGAAGGTCTCTAAGTCGTATCGGTCCGGAAAAATCACTGATGGTAATCGATTCCACAAGGAAGTCGTACGAGGAAAAAAACATCTTCTAAATCGCACAGTGGTGGACCGCCAATCATCCAGATGGTGTGGATGGTATCGGGAGTTCTGTCGCGATGTGCGTTCGTTAAATTTGGCAGCTGGGATTAATCCGAACAATTCCTCAGACACCCCCCGTGGTAGATGCAAAGGAAAATGCAAAGGGATGCAACATCTCTTCGCAGTGCCAATGAATCGAGCCGATTGGATAGGACTCGGTCGTCGACGATTCGAGCCGCTCTGTGCTGGATGCGGTCAAGTGGAAGGAGCTGGCACTGGGGAGCCCCTGCCCAGAGATGGGAACAGTATTCCATGTGAGGCCGAACCTGCGCCTTGTAAAGTTGCAGGCGGTGTGCTGGCATGAAATACTGTCCCGCTCTGCTGAGCACGCCAAGCTTTTTAGAGGCCAATTTGGCCTTCTCTTCCAAGTGACCACGAAACTGCACGTCACTCGATATGTCGACTCCGAGGATTCCGATACTGGCTGAGGCAAGTAGGGGAGTGCCTTGAAACTGAGGAGATACGACAAAGGTGTTCTTTTTAGCGGTAAACGTGCAAACTTGTGTCTTCTGAGGATTAAACTGGACTAGATTTAGTCGCCCCCAATCCGAGACTTTGTTCAGCAACGACTCGACTTTAGACACAAGTTCGTTCCGGTACTCGTCAACGTTTTCCCGAGAAATATTGGCACGGCCGGTGTATAGAGCATCACCAGTGCTGTCATCCGCATAGCAATGAATGTTACCAGTAAGCAACATATCATTGATATAATAGCATTGGTGATAGCACACAGCCTTGTGGAACACCAGCGTTAATAGGCTTGTAGTCGGAGCATGCACCATCTACAACGACCTTGATGCTCCGATCTGCAAGGAAGCTGGTGATCCAATTGCACAATTTCTCGGGAAGCCCATAGGAAGGGAGCTTCGAAAGAAGCGCTTTGTGCCAAACCCGATCAAAGGCCTTCGCAATGTCCAAACTAACGGCCAACGCCTCCCCCTTGGACTTTACTGCCTCCGCCCATTTATGGGTCAGGTAGACCAGAAGATCACCAGCTGATCGACCCCGACGAAAACATATGAGTGAGGTGCTTGTCTTTTAACTTGACTGCCCAAAAAGGATGGTTATGTTTTTCAAATCTTATGCATGTATGTTTGTCTATTTCTTTGGCATGCTGTGTAGCCTAAATGGATTTTAGCATATGATGTATTGTTAGTGGCTTAATTGTGAAACTGATAAGGGGATAGATATTTGAATTTTTCTCTCTTCAGTAAACTTCAGCTGCTGACACTTTTTTTTTTAAATTACTATTTTAACCATTGGGTTTGTTAAGAATTTTGTTGTTATTTAAGGAACAAATTTTGATGGAAAGTATTAACACAGTTAAGTTAATTAAGACATTTAAATCTTTGTAATTTTGTTTTGTCAGTCTGTCCTGATATCTTGATGATAACAAGTTGTCAATATATCAGGATCAAAATATAAGTAATACAGGTGGTTTATAAGAAATAAAAATAGTACATTTTTTTGATTATTACAAGCCAGCATTTCACTACTATCCCACCAGATGATAAGTGGTTATTCACATGAAGATGGTAAAGTGCATTAAATTAGCTTAATAAAAGCCTAATTACTCTTGCCTTAAAGACACCTCTACCTTTTTTTTTTTGGTCACGTAATTTAAGAATCGAAATTATTGTTTCAGTAGCTCAAAGTAACTCTCAGAAAGTAAAAGCAAGTCATAAACTCCGTGTTCAGACCAGTAAGATAGTGTCCAGCTTTAAAGCACCTACATACAATTGCCAACTTGTAAGAGAGTTCACAGGACACAAAGATGGTATCTGGGATGTGTCTTCTGCAAGACCAGGGCAGGCATTATTTGGAACTGCTTCTGCTGGTAATGTATCAAGGAATGTAATGATAGAATTTGCTTTGTATGCCCATTGTTTCTAATAATATATTTAAATCTTTTGAAATCATTGTTATCAATAACTTTTTTTAATCAAATCTGTAGAGCACTTACACACAGATATCACAGTCACTTAACTGCATACTAAATAATATAAGAAATATATAATAACAAATTATTATTGAATATAATATTATAATAAAAATTACTATTATTATTCTATTATTTTCTTTAAATAATTAAAATGACACTATATAAAAACTTTTTCATACTATTACAAAACTTAATAATAGCTGTGTTCATCAAACCATACTATCAAAGAGGAATCTAATGAGGAGCTTGCTTTAGTATCCTGCTGCACGTTTTTGATTGTGATTTTGGTCTTAATCAATGGACAATAACGCTATAATGCACACCTGATGCGGTTTTATGTGTAAATATGTAGTTTTCAAGAATCTGTTTTTTAACATTTAAAATCATGTTGATCTAAGATTGATTAATCAAAAAGTAGTTAGAGTATTCAACGGATCATTTTCGGCAGTCCAACCCTCCAATACGTGCGAATCTCTAATAATAGTTTGATCATTTTCGGCTGTCCAACCCTCCAATACGTGCGAATCTCTAATAATAGTTTGATCATTTTCTGCAGTCCAACCCTTCAGTACGTGCGAATCTCTAATAATAGTTTGATCATTTTCTGCAGTCCAACCCTTCAGTACGTGCGAATCTCTAATAATAGTTTGATAATTTTCAGCAGTCCAACCCTCCAATACGTGCTAATCTCTAATAATAGATTGATTATTTTCGGCAGTCCAACCCTCCAGTACGTGCGAATCTATGATAATAGTTGGATCATTTTCGGCAGTCCAACCCTTCAGTACGTGCGAATCTCTAATAATAGTTTGATAATTTTCAGCAGTCCAACCCTCCAATACGTGCTAATCTCTAATAATAGATTGATCATTTTCGGTAGTCCAACCCTCCAATACGTGCGAATCTATAATAATAGTTGGATCAATTTCGGCAGTCCAACCCTCCAGTACGTGCGAATCTCTAATAATAGTTTGATCATTTTCGGCAGTCCAACCCTTCAATACGTGCGAATCTATGATAATAGTTGGATCAATTTCGGCAGTCCAACCCTCCAATACGTGCGAATCTCTAATAATAGTTTGATCATTTTCGGCAGTCCAACCCTCCAATTGCCGTGTAGTGGCGGTCAAGAATACCACTACCCCATATCCTCCCGTGGGTGTCGTAAAAGGCGACAAAGGGAAACAGGCAGGAGATGGGCAGCAGCATCTTCCTGATAATAGCCAAAATCACAATAAAAAAACTGCGGTTGCCAACCCGCTCGCCAAGCGTGGCAACTATGGCAAATACCCCCCTATGAATGTAACAAAGAGACGGCCCCCAGTCCCCGGCGGCCCCGCTATTCCTGGCTACGGTGGCGACCATGGTAACGGCGGGGCAGGGGGTGCTAAGAATCTCCGGTGGAGGTTCGGTTGCCACCTTAGACGACTCGACCTGGCAACGTACAACGCACGCACCCTGAGGACTGACGAGAAGATCGTGGAGCTGGAAGAAGAGATAGACAAGTTGCGCTGGCATTATAGGATTATCCGAAGTCCGAAGAGAGGGGGAGGACACGGTAATCCTCGAATCCGGCAACTTGCTCTATCACCGGGAGGGCGACCATCTGTCCCAAGGAGGTGTCGGATTTATCGTCCACAAGTCTCGTTAACAACGTTGTAAAGATCGGGAGTGTGTCGACGAGGGTTGCGTACCTTATACTCAGAATCACCAAACGGTATTCGCTGAAGGTCATACAGGTTTACGCACCAACCTCGGCACACCCCGATGGGGAGGTGGAGGAAATGTATGAGGATATCTCTAGAGCCATGCATTCCTCCAAAACCCAATATACGGTGTTAATGGGAGACTTCAATGCAAAACTAGGCACAAGAGAGAACGGTGAGCTGAAAGTAGGGAAATTTGGAATAGGGCAACGGAACCCAAGGGGCCAGCAGCGGGCCGACTTCATGGAGAAAGAGGGACTCTTGATGATGAACTCTTTCTTCCAGAAGCGGCCCCACAGGAAGTGGACCTGGTCGAGCCCCGACGTTTCGACAAAAAATGAGATTGACTTCATTATGACGACCAGACGAAAACTGTTCAGTGATGTCTCCGTGATCGCGAGGGTGAAAACTGGTAGCGATCACCGAATGGTTAGAGGCACACTGAACCTAAACGTTAAGTTGGAGAGGTCTCGTCTAATGAAGTCAACGCTCCGTCCCCCTCGTGCTCTGTTCCAAAGTCCCGAAACCTTTCAGCTCGAGTTACAAAACCGTTTTCAGTACCTAGAAGACTGCAATGAAGTGGACGATATGAATGACAAGCTCGTGGAAACTGTCCATGCGGTCGGAGCTAAGTTCTGCAAGACCCGCCGCAGAAGAACACAAAAACTCTCCGATCACACTCTTAATCTCATGGCTGTTAGACGGGAGATGAAGCTACATTCTTCAACAGACTTGACAGCATACAGGCATCTGAACAGACAGATCTCCAAATGCATGCGGCGGGCCTTACGCAACTTCAATACAGCTCGTATTGAAGAAGCGATCGAGCGGAACCAAGGCTCCAAAGTCTTTGCCAGAGATCTGTCTGCCAGAAAGAGCCACCTGTCAAAGCTGAAGACAGAATGTGGCAGCATCGTTTCCGGGACACCTGAGATTTTGAGTGAGATTGAGAGGTTCTATGGGCAGCTGTACACGCCATCGTTGGAGCCACACGCAAGTGTGAGTAACGATCCAAGAGCGAGTCTCATCCGACACTATTCCGAAGATATCCCGGACGTCAGTCTGAGCGAGATTAGAATGGCTCTCCAGCACCTTAAAAACGGTAAGGCCCCAGGCGAGGATGGAATTACAGCGGAGCTTCTGAAAGCGGGTGGAAGACCGGTACTTGAAGTCCTTCAGAAGCTCTTTAATTCCGTCCTCCATGGTGGCATTACACCGGAGGCGTGGAGCAGAAGTGCGGTGGTCTTGTTCTTCAAAAAAGGTGGCAACGCTCTCTTGAAGAACTACAGACCGATTTCCCTTCTGAGCCGCGTCTACGTGCTGTTTTCGAGAGTCATTACGAATCGTCTCGCGCGCAGACTTGACGACTTCCAGCCTCCCGAACAAGCCGGTTTCCGAAAGGGCTTTAGCACCATAGACCACATACAAACCCTTCGGCAAATTGTACAGAAGTCCGAAGAGTACAATTTGCCACTATGTCTGGCGTATGTGGACTATGAGAAAGCCTTTGATTCCGTCGAAATTTGGGCGGTGCTGCAGTCCCTTCAGCGGTGCCAAGTTGACTGTCGGTATATCGAAGTGTTGAAGTGCTTGTACAGTAGAGCTACGATGGCTATCCGAGTACAGAACCAGAGTACGAAACCTATCCAATTGCAGAGAGGTGTAAGACAGGGTGACGTCATATCCCCGAAACTCTTCACCGCTGCATTGGGAGACGTTTTCAAGCTTCTGGACTGGAAAGGATACGGTATCAACATCAATGGCGAGTACATCACTCACTTTCGATTTGCCGACGATATAGTCCTTATGGCAGAATCGCTGGAGGACCTAAGCACTATGCTCAATGACCTCGATAGTGTTTCCCAACGGATAGGTCTTAAGATGAACATGGACAAAACAAAGATCATGTTCAATGTCCATGTCACACCTATGCCGGTAGTTGTTGGGAGCACTAAGCTCGAAGTTGTTGACGAGTATGTTTACCTGGGACAAATAGTCCGACTAGGTAAGTCCAACTTCGACCGAGAGGTCAATCGACGGATTCAACTCGGCTGGGCAGCGTTCGGGAAGCTACGACACATCTTCTCGTCAGACATACCTCAAAACCTGAAAACGAAGTTGTACAACCAGTGCGTGTTGCCAGTGATGACTTATGGAACTGAGACGTGGTCCTTCACTGCTGGCCGTATGAGGAAGCTCAAGGTCGCACAGCGAGCTATGGAGAGGGCTATCCTCGGAGTCTCTCTGCGTGATAAACTTAGGAATGAGGATATCCGCAGTAGAACCAGAGAAACCGACATAGCCCAACGGATTAGTAAGCTGAAGTGGCAGTGGGCCGGCCATATAGCTCGAAGAACCGACAACCGATGGGGAAGAAAGGTTCTTGAGTGGCAGCCTCGTACCGGTAGGCGAAGTGTAGGGCGTCCCCTCACGAGATGGAGTGACGACCTGGTAAGACATGCAGGAAGTCGATGGATGCAGGTGGCTCAGGACCGTGCTTTGTGGCATTCTTTGGGGGAGGCCTATGTTCAGCAGTGGACTTGTGAAGGGCTGTAATGATGAAATGATGAACCCTCCAATACGTGCGAATCTCCAATAATAGTTTGATCATTTTCGGCAGTCCAACCCTCCAATACGTGTGAATCTCTAATTATAGTTTGATCATTTTCGGCAGTCCAACCCACCGATACGTGCGAATCTCTAATAATAGTTTGATCATTTTCGGCAGTCCAACCCTTCAATACGTGCGAATATCTAATTATAGTTTGATCATTTTCGGCAGTCTAACCCTCCCATACGTGCAAATCTTTAATAATAGTTGGATCATTTTCGGCAGTCCAACCCTCCAATACGTGCGAATCTCTAATAATAGTTTGATCATTTTCAGCAGTCCAACCCTCCAATACGTGCGAATCTCTAATAATAGTTTGATCATTTTCGGCAGTCCAACCCACCGATACGAGCGAATCTCTAATAATAGTTTGATCATTTTCGGCAGTCCAACCCTCCAATACGTGCGAATCTCTAATAATAGTTTGATCAATTTCGGCAGTCCAACCCTCCAATACGTGCGAATCTATAATAATAGTTGGATCAATTTCGGCAGTCCAACCCTCCAATACGTTTGAATCTCTAATAATAGTTTGATCATTTTCGGCAGTCCAACCCCCCAGTACGTGCGAATCTATG